GCACCCTAGTCAGAAGATACAAGGCAAGGCACACCTTTTTGAAGCAAGGCACAAATTTTTGAAAAAAAAAACTATAAAGGAAACAGTGTAAACCTAAAATTTAAAAGAAATTAAATGTTTAAAAAAAAAAGCTTATTGGCTTAAATTACAACACATGCATAACACAATATTTGTTGGGGATTACATAGAATAGATTACAGGGGAATCAAGGGTGGGACAAAGTAAGGAGCACATTAGAACAATTGGCCATACCATAAAGAGTCTGTGGTTCTGTGGTTTTTGATCTTATGCCTCTTTAGTTTTTTGATATAAATAAAAATTTTATTAAAAAGAAAAGAAATACAGATCTTGCGCCTCTTATTTTGGAGGGATACTGGTTGACCATCTCAAATAATGGGTCATTGGTGTTTAAAAACATAGTCAAAGAGAAAATGTGGAAGTGAAAACAAACATACATGGATACTAAACACTCAGCAATTCAAGTAGCTAATATGCCAAAAGTGCTTCAAGCACTCGGTAATTCAAAAATGTGAACTTTCTATCTGTTTATCTTTATCCTTGTTGCTTTATTCCACGTAGCTAGTTTGATGTTAAACATCTTACATTCCTAATTGTAGGGGATTGCCATTTTGCCTCTATGAAGGCCCCTTGAAGCATCCCAAATAAGTTCATGTGGAGGTTTAGGGAAGCACCCCCAACCTAAACTGGAGGGATTTGTAACTCTAATAGTAATAAAAAATAACACATACTTCGTAAAATCAAAATCATTGACAACTGAACCTCAGGTGGCAAAACTGTAAAAAGGGTTCTCAAATCAGAAGTGGACAAGGGAAGCTCATCAAAAAAGATGGATGGTCTTGTAGACATGAAATTGAAGGACCGCTCGGAGGAGGGCATGGATGAGGAAGGAGAGAAGGAACATGGGAATGATGGTACCACTGAAGGGGAGTCAGGTAAGGTCTCCAACACAAAAGAAGACACACAAGGAAAGGGGGAAATGCAAGACAAGGAAGGTGAAGAGGACGATGGAGCTGGAGAATACTAGGGAGGGAGAGAGAAGGGCACCAAGTGAAGCTGGGTCCCCAAATTTGGTGACTACACCAAAGGAAGTGGGTTAGAAGCATTTGGGGAGTGAAAGCTGAGGGGAATTAAGTGGGCCTATTCACCATCATGGGGTGGCATCTGGAGGTACAATCACATTGTGGCAAGAAGAATCAATGGATTGCTTAGAGGAATTAGCAGGAACTTTACTATCTCATTAAAATTTAAGAATGTGGATGATGGTTTTATTTGGGCATTAACAAATGTCTTGTGGCCCTAACTCTTATATAGAGAGAAATATGATGTGGGAGTTGGTAGATATCAGAGGTTTAAGGGGTAGACCTTGGTGTTTGGTCGGAGACTTTAATGTGATCAAGTTCTCAAATAAGTCTAATAATCCTAGGCAAAGGATGACAACAAATATGAGAAAATTTAATAGATTTATTGGGTCATATGAGCTTAAAGAAGTCACTTTAGGGGAAATAAAATACACTTGGTCCAATTTCCAAGAGAACCCCATTTGCTTTAAACTGGATAGATTTCTTGTGACAATTGATTGGGAGGAACACTGGGAAAGTTTTTCAAGGAGGCCCTTTCCTAAAATTACCACAGATCATTGGCGCATTTGTGTCTTTCAAGAGAGAGATGATCCTTACCCATTTAAGTTTGAGAATATGTGTCTCACCACTCACTCACCCAGGATTTGTCCAAAAGGTGAATTGGATGTAGTAAGAAATGATTTAAGCACTCATAATGTAACAACAGATATAGCACTAAGCAAAAAGAAATGGTGAAATGGGATTCATGTAGTCAACCCCATATAGTTGGGACAAGACTTAGATGATGATGATGATGACAATGATATATAGAGGGGTTGGTTTTGTGATCTTAGATCCAATTCATTTTGTTTTACAATTAATGATCAGATATTAGTTGTATCATTGTTGCTTCTCTAGTGGAAATTTGATATTCGATATCATATTTGCAAGAAATAAGGCTTCAGGTATTAAAAAGGTACTTGAGATCCTATTTGCAAGAACTAAGGCCATTACTAGTACACAAGGTAATTTAGAAGTTGACAAACCATTACAAAGGGGTAAAACACATAACAATCCATAAAAAATAAAAAACAGAACATTTAAAAAGGAATTTGGGCTGAGGTAGAACCGTACAAGGTGCACATCTTTTAAAAGGGACTATGCTGGGTTAGATGAGGTGCATGCCTTAAAATGCGCCTCGCTTGTGTGCCTAGAAGCATCTTTTAAAACACTAACTAATACTCCCAAAATAAACTCCTTAGCCAACCACATTAGGATAGTAACTGATAAGAATTATTTATTTAAAATGGAAAATAAAGAATTCATGTAGAATTTATACCATCTATAAAAAGGATACTAAGAATATAAAGTATAAACTGTACCAACAATGGAAAGTTGGAAACTCTTTTGAATCTCCAGGATAATGGGCTTTTCTTGTCAATTATTGTGATGATTTCAGTGCCTTTGCACTATATCTTTACTATGTTCCTTGCTACACATGTAGGTTTTGAGCAAAAATGTAGATGTGCTCAAATCCAAAAAAAGAAGAGCGCTAGAGAAAAGATATATTATTAAGACTTAGGTTTGTATTATTACAAGATTCTTACTATTTTGTTTCAGCTTTTTAAAAAGCTTACATTTGTAAGCATTATTTTGCATAAGAAATTCAAGCAAAGAGACAGTCCCCAGGTACCCAATCCATATATGTATTCTTCTTTGTGAAGATGGGCAATTTATTTTTAATCTGTTCCAAGATAGGTACCTTGGGGAGTTTCAATTCTCAAAGGATCAGTTTAGACAAGTGAAACCATGTAATACTTGAATCACATTAATGACATATCTAGTTAACTACACTAGCAACTCTATTAAACAATGAAGAAAACATAAAGTTTTAGTTTCTTACATGTATATCTTCATTTTCTTGTACTTACAATAAAACATCTTGTATCAAGTAATAAACAATGTTCAGATCCATGTCTATAAAGCTTGTCACATGGGAACAACATGCAAGCAATTCTACATTAACGTCTAACTCAGATTTTCAAAGCCATTATATTGAAAAATCAGTGGTGCACACCAATACCTTGTTACTAGGTTGAAGCATAGAGGTTCTAGACTTAGCTAAATGAATTTTGTAGGCTCTTTTTTCTTTTTTCTTTATTTTTTTTTTAGCTGGTAAAATTTTGTACCCACCCATTACTCCCGCCCCTCCTTTACTGGGACCAAACTACCTTAACCTACCTTGTACAACTGAATTTTGATGGAAGCTCATTTGGAAATCCGGGATTGTCAGGTATCAGGGGAGTAATCAGAAATTCTGAAAGGAGAATATTGGCATTATTCTCTGGACCTATCGGCATGGGCAACTCTCTAAAAGCTGAGTTAATGGCATTGCTACAAGGATTGAAGATAGCCAAGCAACTAGGAATGAGGCATATTGAGGTTGAAGGGGATTCCAAGGTGATCATCTCTTGGGTTAAAAACAATAGAACTACTCCGTGGACTTTCAAACAAGTGATAAGGGCTAAGGGAAGTGGAAAAGGTTGCAAGGGAGATAGAGGCAGAATTCAAATGGGTTAGAAGGAGTGCAAATGGGCTAGCTGATTATCTTGCTAAACAAGGGGCTTTGAGGCAACAATTGTTTTGGGCTGCAATGTAAAAAGGGACAGAAACATGTAATAGTGTGGGACTTCTAGTCCCATATACAAAGTTGTAAAACTTTTTAACTTTAATTTCAAATAAAATTCTCCTTTGATGATAAAAAAAAAACACCACATTGAGATCAATCATCAATGGCCTTAGAATGGCAGGTATCACTAATTATAAAATTATCTTTACAAGCCAGTCCATATGGCCAAGCTTGTTATTCACTGAGGTGCCAACCTAAAAGGATCTTATTAGTAGTTCCCAATCACCTTTTATAGTAGAAGAAAATTTTATTTAAAAGCAAAAAGAGAATACAAGCATTAGGGATATGAAACCACTGAGGAGAAGAGTAAAATCATTCAAACACTTGTCACCTCTCCGGCTCTCCCTACAGAACCAGCATTTTTTTTTTTTTGAATAGGTTGCAAAACCAAACTTATATAACCATCCATATCCCCAATACAATAAAACCCCACTTTCCAAACATAAAACAGGTGTTTCTGTTTTCACATATCCTCAAACAGCCCACTACTTATAGGTGCACTTTCAGATTGCCTCTTTAATAAGCCTCTGCATAAATTAAAGCATCATAAACTTGTTTCAAAAAAATCTCCCTCCAGTAGGAACTTTAACACCCTCATAATTTAGTATCTCTCTCATATTAACACTAATCACTATACCCTCATCCTTTTCCTTCCCTGCTCAGCACCTTTAAACCGGGTTTAGACTTTGGATAATAACAATCTTTTTATTCTTTCTTTTTTTCTAATTCAAAGAAAAAAATCTATGCCATCAAGAATTACATAGGCAATGAATTTGCACTATACAAAAAATTCGTCTACTTTAACCACTTCATCTAATGAGTTGCCTTCATCAGTTTTTCATCTTGGTCTGAGTATACTTCACCTCACTGCTCTGAATTATTATCATTATTCTTTGACAAAACCAAAGTATGTGCTTTGGTTGTAAAACTCCTTTTTCTGACTGATATCACTTACAACATTATACAAGAAAAAGATTATGGACCATTTCTTGACTTGTTCCTATAATTCTTGTGCAGGGACTATGCTAATCTTCCCTGTATAGTTCCATTTTATCAGATTTCTCCAAAGAGACCTAGTTCTCTATCATATTTGGCATAGCCTCTAAATCAACTTATTACCTTATAATACATCCTTTTACAAAAAACTAGAAGGTCTTTGCTTGTAGATTAGTTGGCTAACAAATTGACTGCAGAAAAGAAATAACTTGACAAGGAGAAAGAGAAGAGCTTACCCAGCATGTCATCATCATTCTTGAATGGCAATCCATTGCACCTCTGAGCTGTTCCCCACTTCATCCTATAACATGTATTGTGCTCGATGACTGGTCGATGGCTCCAGTCACCTTTCAATCGAGGATTCAAATGAAGAATCTTTGGTGGATCCTCTCCATCAACTGTTTTCAGCCCTTGCAATTCAACCATAAATTGTGAAATGAAGACCCTAGGATTTCCATGCTTCAACCTTGCTAGCTGAGGCAAAAACTCCTCATGAGCATTATGAGGTGTCCCAACCACCGTTATAGAAGAGCCTGCAGCAAGACCACAAGGAAGAAACATGACATGTTCTCCATTACCAAGTTCTTCTCCACTCACTGATACTGATGAAGGGCATGGCTCAGGGTTTGCTTCAACCAAAGAGCTCTGATTCGTTTCCTCTGAATCAAAATTCTCAATCTCTTCCCATGCCTTCTGGCCCAATGTCCATGCCTCATCTGCCATTCTTTCTAGCACAGAGAGATCCATTGTTTTATTCCTTCTCCTCATAATTTCCCCTGTTATCCGACCAAAGTGATACTGAAGAGGCTTGATAGACAGGGACTTACCCTGTTGCTCTCGAAATGGTTCCTTCCTAGGCATTTGTGGTGCAGCATTGTATTGATCATCTTCCAATTTCCTATGAAAAGTATCCTTGTAAACTGAACTAAAGAGGGGCTTGCTTATATCCCCACCTTCCTCAGCTTCTGTCAATCGATCCATCCCAACAAAACTGTCATCCCCGCTCAACACAGTTGCAATCTCCAAGAAATGAGGAAGCTTGAGGGACATAAAAAGCAAGTATAATGCCCCTACAACCAACAGAAGATGAGACAACTTGAATCTCCTCCCAGCAGGAGGGTCGCCCTTGGATCTCCTCATCTTAAGTTATCGAAAGAGAACCTCCAGTTCCTCACAGGTATCTGAAACCCCTTCAAATCATTCTCTCTAGTTGTAAACCATACTTTAAAAAAAAAAATCAAAAATTAACTGAACCCACAAACAGAAAAACTCGAAAAGCCACACCCAACTGAGAAACTCTAGTTCTTTAAAGGGACCCACCAGACCAACCTATCAATGGAGCTACAAATTCAGTAAAAGCGTTATAGAAAACGACCCAAAAAAAGGAAGAACCAGGTAGAAAGCCTTTGTAAATTCAAAAGGCTCCAACTTTACCAACCAACAGAAACTACTACATTCAGCAACATTGTACAAGGTCACCAAATGCTTCAAAAAAAATGGCATGAACCCTAGAAATTTCAGAATACAAGCTTCAGTCATTAATCCACCAATGTCTCCCAACCCGCTGCCATCTACGGACAAAACCGATAAAAAAACCAATCTCGGACAAATTGAAATCGATATCAACCACCGATCCTTCAACAACCTTCACGAACCCAAACCCAAACCCATAGGAATTACGAGAAAGAAATCTGCTCCGACGCCAGAACCACCATTTCCAAAAACACTGATTCCAGGAATTAAAATCAGGTTAGTGAGGTGCCAAAAAGAACAGAAACTGAATGAAATGAAACCCTAGAACATGAGAAAGTCACAAGAAAAAAACTGCAGTACAGAAACAAACAGGAACTCTACATTTCCATTAATGCCTGAGGACCATTTCTTTATTCGAAACCCCAGTACCCACCAAATTTCTCCCTTCCATTTTAAGTTTCGCCATGAAAATCCATCTCTGTTGCTTTCAGAACTCAAGAGGGATATGCACGACAAAACCAGAGTCCAAAATATTCCCTATTTTCTCAATTTTATTTAATTATTTTTAATTTTACTTAATTGTACGGTCTGAAAACGCATAATTTTAGGAGGAAATCTCTTAAATTACGCATTACTTCTAGAAAATAGGCTTATACACCCCTAATATGTTATAAATTCCGTTAAAATGTCCCTAGCTTTTCAGGATATTGACAAAACCTGCCCCTACCATTACCTCGCCGTCGAATTCCGTCACATGTGTTTGCACGTGATTGTTATATAACTTATTTAAAACCCAATTTTGCCCTTTATCTATCAACACAACAAAAGCCCTCCAACCTCCTCTCCTCTGACCAAGCACTATTGACTCTGTTGTTAGAAGCAGAGGTGTAAAGTGGGCCATGCCAGGCCGGTATGGCACGGCCTGCACAAAGTGCGGGCCATGTTGTTATGGCCTGCAGGCCATCATGGGTCATGCCACCCTCCCCAATAAATAGTTTGGGAGTCAGTTTGGCACGATCCACGGCCCAAGCCCATGTAGGCCCGTGCCGTGCTGTGTCATGCCATGCTGCGGGCCGAGCTAGCCCGTGGGCCAAGCCAAGGCCCAAACCAGGCCATGGACAGGACCAAAGTTATTTTTGCCTATTTATTTAAAAATTTGAAAAAAAACTTAAAATTTTAATTTTATATGAATTTTGATTTATACAATTGCCTATATATACAATAATTAAATAAATTAGTATAATAAAATTGAAAACAATTGTTTATTTTATTAATATATTATATAATATACATTATTATATAACTATAATTTATATATTATATATAAATATATAAAATATATAAATGTTTATATATATAATATATATAAAGTATATATGGGCTGTGCCGGCATGCAAGCCGTGAGCGGCACAGCCTGCTTGATCGTGCCATACCGGTCCGGCCCACGGACCTAAAACCCTAGGCCCAGCACAGTATGGACCATCATGCCAAGATTGACACGGCCCGCGTGTCATCATGCTAGGCTGGTCCAAAATCGGGTCGGGCCGTGCTAGGCCACAGACGGCACGACCCGATTTACACCTCTAATTACAAGAGCATGAAAAATTCATATCCTTAAACTCCTTCATTAGGATTTGTCCAAAATTAAAACCTAATTCAAAAAAAAAAAAAAAAGATATTGCATAAGGAAGAGAGCTCTTTGCACTACAAAAACGAATTAGGCATTACTATGCAATATGCTCTAGTTTTCTTGGAAAAACATTTGACAATGACTTGGGAATGTTGCAAATGAGCCTTTGACAACTTTAGGAGACCTTGGAGTGCAAAAAAAGGGCAAATTTCTTAAACTATCCCTATTGTTTAGTTAATTGACAAATTGAACTTGATGGATGGTGATTTAACCTGACCTCCTGAGAAGACGATACAAGGACGTGATTCAACGTAACCAACAGCTCAGCATGACAGCCTGGCTACGACTGAGTAGCGAGCTCGTTAAGGTCCTCGCAGGATAGCTCGCTACATTATACCTCGCCACGGAATGAGCTCGTTACAGCGCAAGCTCAAGGACCCCGGTATGTGGAAAGGGAATGCCGCAAGCCAAGTCTATCCCAGCTCACAAGCTGAGAGAATCAACTCGCTCCAATACTTAGGCAAGAAAACTGCCCCAAAGGCAACCTCAGGCGGAATCACCTCGGGACACATCCAGGAGCTCGCTACAAGGCAGCTCGCTAAGGGAAAGCTCGCTACAAAGCAACTCTGTTAAGCGACGCAACGTTCTCAGGAAGCTTCTTATCTGACGAGACCATACCCATCAGACTGCATCACGTCTCCTGATTTACGGCATAGTCCTGTCAGCCCAGCAAACTACACCCACGTCTCTCAACAGGTGGTGGCGTGTCTGTCCTTTTCGGGTCGTGTCTCTCATCCGATTGGGCAGTACTCTGCAACAGTCACCTGCGCAACCTTGGAAAATAACAGCTGCGACAAAGGGCTAGTGGCAGTTACGCCCGATTTGACAAGACATCTACATCTAAAGGCCCCAGGGTCGAAGGGGCGAAGGTATCTTGAATTAGCGCAATCTGCACTCTTAGCTCTCTTTGCATCCCTTACAGCTCTCCCAAGTATTCTAACTTAAACATCAGAGTATTCCCACCGGCGAGCTCCCCGGGAATCCTTCACCTTCCTCCTCTTAGGTACCGTTCGTCGCTAGCTAGGATCCAAGCATCCGCCAACTAAGAGTGCTCGGATTGCACTGCATCATTTGGTGCCGTCTGTGGGAACGCTTCAGAAAGCCTTCATCTAATCTTTGCAACTCTCTCTAAGAACTCAACATTCATGACTTCCTCTAGTAATGCCGGACGTGGTGCCGACCAGAACGCTTCACGGGAGCAACCCCAGCTCCCCACAGTCTGCATTGGACAGTTCACCATCCCCCTCTTTGTGGACGGAGTTCCCAGCCTAAATGTGCCTCTGACAGTGCCACCTGTGAACGCTCCACTCCCTTCCACGATTGGAGCAACTTTTACCAAACCTTCCGTTGTTCCCCTAGTGAGCAACCAAAACCAGCTCGAAGACCTGGTGCAGTACATGCGAGCCATGCAAGCCCAAATGCAACAGTTCCAGCAGTTTCAACTCTACCAGCAGCAAGTGCTACATCAAGTTTCTCAGTATCAGTACCAACAGCAGTTCCCTTCACTGCCTCAAGACCAACAGCCGCTTCCCCCTCTGCATCCGGCCACGAAGCAAGCCAAGCCCTCTCGCCGGAGCAAACGTCCTCGTCGGGGAGAGGCTTCTCAAACCCATAATCCTTCCAAAAGCCAAGCTCGTCCCACGGTAGGAAGGAGAGACCAGTCACCCCCGCCTTGCAGCCTGTAGGCAGGTCGAGGGTCTCCCAGCCGGTCAGACCCGCATCGCCTCAGCACTCTCAATTCAAGCTCCGGCTTGCAGAAAACCAGTTTTAGGACCTAGCCGCAGATTATAGGCAGGGCCCTTCGGTTCACAACTATCATCAGCAGTCTGAGCCCATCGAACTCGGTAATGCTGAAGCCAGCAGCACCAACGCCAAGCTGATGAAGCAGCAGTGGAGGCACCAACGAGCTCGTCAAACTACTACCCGCATCCTGCCCGAGCTCAAGGGTAAGGAGGAGGTAAGCTCAAATGAAGTAAAAGTTACTCCTCTCCTTTTAGTTCCTTCCCCTTTGTCGTCATAACTTCTTGCAGTCCCTATGCCGAAATACTTCAAGCTTCCTCCCCTGGATAAGTATGACGGATCCTTCGATCTGAATGACCATGTGGATGCCTTCCAGTCCCAAATGCACCTGGCAAGGGCCAGTGAATCCTGTATGTGCGTGGTTTTCTCCACCACCTTCAAAGGGGTGGCCCGCACATGGTACCGAAACCTTGCACCCGGATCGATAGGAAGCTGGGCGCAGTTTGTGCAAGTCTTCACCTTCCATTTTGTCACCAGCAAGAGGTGCCCAAAAACTCAGGAGAGCCTCCATGGCATAGTCCAGAAGGAAGGGAGTCCATTCGAAGTTATATCAAGCGGTTCAATGACGCTTGTTTGCAAATACCCAACCCGAACCACGCAGTTCAGCTCACCGCGGCCAAACGAGGCATTACCCATAAAGAATTCAAGTGGTATGTGGTTGTTAATCAGCCCAAAACTGTGATCGAGTTCCTCAAGCTCGCATATCAGTTTATAGGGACAGATGAGGAAATCAACCAGAAGAATGCAAGTGTGCTCGAGAAGAGAAAAAGGGAAGGCGAGTCCTAGATTCAAGGGGACAGTAAGAAGAAGAAAGACCCAGATCAGGGGGCAAGGCCGAGTCAGCCTTTTCGAGCTTCAACAGCTGAAAGAACGGACTACACGCCCTTGAACGCGAAGAGGGCCGAGATCCTTATGGCAATCAAGGACGTCCCATATGTGAAGTGGCCACCTCGGCTGAAGGTTGATCCGAGTGTAAGAAATAAAAATTTGTATTGTAGTTTTCATAAAGACCACGGTCATAACACCGAAAATTGTAAAAACCTCCGCGACAAGATAGAGGAGCTCATCCGTCGCGAATACTTGAAAAATTTTGTAAAAAATAAAAATAAAAATAATAATAATAATAAAACATGTCGACAATGAGAGCAAAATAGGGATGCTCCCGAATCCATCAGGCAAGCATAGCAACCGCAGAGGTAGCCCTCGGAAGAGAGACCAGTTTGGGAGACCATCCACATAATCGTCAGAGGTTCGATTATCGCGGCTGCAGCTCGGGCATCAACTTGTGAGGCCGCTAAGGAAGAGTAGAATCCCCCGAAGCGACCAAGGATGAAAGACCCGATATTTTTCACAGAGGACGATGCGTACGGGGTCCACTACCCCCATGATGATGCGCTCGTCATAAAGATGAAGATTAATGACTTTGAAGTCAGGCGGGTCCTCATCGACTTGGGCAGCTCGACGGATATCATTTTCAAAGCAGCATTCGACCAGCTCTAGCTCTAAGAAAGCGACCTAAAGCCTGCAAATACTCCCCCGGGAGGCTTCAACGGAGAGGAAGTCAGGCCCCTGGGAAGGATTACAGTTTTTGGGGATGTTGGCACCTGGCCTATCATAGTGAGGCTCAACCATGACTTCTTAGTGGTCGCAACCCCCTCCCCGTACAATGCCATAGTAGGTCGGCTGATCACCCATGCCCTATGCGTAGTGGTCTCCACTTACTATTTGGCAATGAAGTTCCCTACGGACTTCGGAATTGGGATAGCGCGAGGTGACCAGCTTGAGTCTCGCAAGTGCTATGTCGCCGCCCTCAAAGGGAAAGCCAAGGTGGCCGACGACCTCGAGGTGGAGTGACCTACAGAGCAATGCGAGGAGCGAGCTGCACCCATAGAAGAGACTGTCTCCATCTCGACATCGATGGGGGACCCAGCTCGGACACTTCAGATCGGCACTTCCATTGAGGAGCCTCTGCGATCTCAACTGGTACGCTTCTTACTTAAAAATTTAGATGTTTTTACATGGTCCGCGACAGA